ATGGAAGGTGGAAGGGACAACTCGCATATCGTGGATCTAGGGTCGACCCAAGATAACATTGTATGGTGAGGGGAAATTGAGCATTAGGAAGATGATTTGCTTGTTGACTCCGCTGGCATAGACAGGTAAGACAATTTCATCGATGGTGTACTTCTGCTTAAAACTAAACCCGATCAGTATGGTTGGTCGTCTGCTGATGTTTGATTCATCTAGTCCTATGGCCTTCATTGCTTCAAGGAAAAAGATGTTTGTCGAGGACCCCCCATCTATAAATACTCTCTTGACCAGGATGTTGGTGATCTGGATAGAGATGACTAGACTATTGTGACGAGGGGCGGCAAGGGTAACTGACTCGTCATCTTCAAACTGAATGACCTGGTTGGTATGCACTTAAGGGGATGGATGAATGGATCAGACTTCTAGGTGATGGTTGGCTTGGGCGTAGCACTTGGCTCAGGAATAACTTACCCCACTGATTTCTGACCCTCCACAGATAATTGAGTAAAACCCCTTTGGTGTTGGTTCTCATGGAGGGGGAGATGTTTCTTTCGAGCTTCTCTAGCCAACTGTATTATTCCCTTTATCCATCAATAGGTCTTGGAGATATCCCATTTTCAGTAGTACTGTGATTTCCAATCTTAGGGCGAATCGGCAGTGTTTTGACCATGGTCGCCATGGAATTTGCACCATTTGGTCGTGTCTCTCTTCACATCGGGATTGAGCTTGGCTGTCAACTTCACTGTAGGTCCCATTCCTTTCATGATTGCCACAACTTGGGCTGGTTCGACATTGAGGTTGTATTCTAGAACCTTAAATTGGTTCAATCCAGATGGTCTATTTTCGGCTCTAGTTAGTTGGCGGTTGTGTGATTTTTTTCTGCTCGGATTGCGGGGAGAGGGTTGATAACGAGGCTCAAACGATCTGGACTCTAGCATTCTTTCATTCCGCCTTTGGTGACGATCATCATATCTGACATGTCTTATCCAGTTCACCTTATCTTCCTCCCACCTGATTTGGATCACAACTTTGGCTAAGGCATCTTCCATTATGGTGCAGTCGAGCTTTGTCGGGTTTTTGTATAGTTCTCCATCGGGGAGGAGACTCTTTCTGAAAGCGTCTACCATTGTCTTTGGATTACAGGATAGGATGAAGATTTTTTCTTTGTTGAATCTGCTAATATACTCTCTCAATGGCTCCCTCCTCTTCTGGTTGACTTTATGTAAGTCGATTGACAACTTCTAGAGTTTCTTGCTATTGACGAATTGTTCAATGAAGGTGTCGATGAGTTGGGCGAATGAGCTGATTGTGTCGTTTGGAAGGTTAGTGTACCATTAAAGAGCTGGTTTAGAGAGGCTTGAGCTGAAACTCTTACACATGCAGGCTTCCCTCAGTGTTCGGGGTATCGAGGTAGCAAACATCCGCTGTTTGTATGAGGCTAGATGATCATCTAGGTTAGTTGTGCCATTGTAAGACTTCATGCCAGGGATGGTGAATTTGTGAGGTATCTCGACTAGCGTAATTGCATCCATGAAGGGTGACTCGCCATAGTAGTGAGGTTGACTCTTTTTGGTTGGGATTGGTACTCCAAGTATACGCCTCATAATTACTTTTATGTCAACCAATCTTTTGGCCAATATCTGCTTCATGGGTGAGGCGGAGGCCACTAGGTCGGGCTGGTTGGCTTGGTTGGTCATGTGATTCGCACTCGGTACGTTTTGTTGGGTCAAGTCGCGTGGGGTAGCTTGGCGAACCATTCCATTGTGTGCTGCTTGGTAACTAGGATCTCCATTCATTCCCTCGGGTTGGGTGGTTTGGCCCGCATGGATGGTGAGAGAGGTTATTTGAGAGTCGCTCAGTCCGTAGGGATGGATGGACTCAAGTGGGGTGGATTGAAGGTGAGGGAGTCCACTCGACCAGCAAGGATGAGTCGAGTCGAGTGGGGTTTGGTTAGGAATGGTTGATTGGAGATGAGACCTGATGGCAAGGATGGGTGGCTCTTATTGTGGTGGGCTTTCTGTCACTTGGATGTCTTGATCTCGTGCCTGAAGCGGGTCGACCGAGAGTGGCTCTACTGGCAGTCCTTGCTCAATTAGATTCAGGGCTGAATCATCCACTAGTGATGAATAAAGTTGTCACGACCTTGTATTCGAGATCGTTGGTCTGTGATCTGAAGTTTAGAGAGGTTGCATGGACGGAACTGATGCGTGGAAACGATTGGGTTGTACCTGAAAAGGCTGAAGTTAAAGGTCATAAAATTGACTTACCCTCTCTTTCAGAGACTGGTTTTTGGCCCGGATGGCGGTCTTCTCAGCTTCCAGTGCTGCAACCTTGTCTGAGTGCTATTGCATAAGGGCAATCAAAGCTTTGAGTCTGGCCTTAAGGCCAGGATTAGTGTTATTTGAATTTTCAGTCATAAAGAGTTTCCTTACGAAGTAGGGTTTGAAAGATGAATGATTGCCAGAGGCTCCACGGTGGGCGCCAAACTATAGATGCAAAAAATCGACCTTTATGAAAATAAGGACTGATCCCATGAGGTTGAGGCCATTAGCAATCCGCTGTACCTGCACATGCAAGAAAACAAGTGTGAAACGAATAGGAAACATCGGGGTGGTGTTTGCCATAGGCACTCCGACACTCAAATCAATAAGGCTGAGTGAGGCTAATTTAGTGAGAATTAGGGAGAGAGAAGGTTACCAGAAGTCTAGTCGGAGACTATAACTACAGCTGTGATGCAAAATTCTCGAGAGTGAGAACTACAGGGTCTGAAGGTGTCATGTCTCTTGTGAGAGGGCTGGCCTCTGTTTATATAGCAACTGTAGGATCTTCGAATCCTGGTAGGACTGAGAGTAATTAAAGTTGATGTTTTGTAAAAAGGGAGAACCTTTGGCTCCGTTACCTCAATAGGAAAGGGAGTCCTAGCGGGTTTAAGACACGGATCTTAGACGAGTTAGGGTAGTGATGGACCTCTTCGATAGAGTTCGGGTAGTATTGGGATAAGTAGATGACCTTGGGCTTCAAGTAGATCCTAAGTGCAGAAGGTGGTCTAAGATCAAAGGGCCTGGGCTCAGACAAGTTGGTGGCGAGGCCTAAGCGAATCGGGCATTTGCTGATTGGGCCCAAGTAGTGAACAACAAAGTAGATGTACCGAACGGACATAGAATGCATACTCAGTTGCGGGCCCGATCAGAATTAGGCTATGGCTCCAAGCTTCATTGATGGTGTCTTCGTCTTCGGGAACCTATTTGGGCCGAAGACATTTTTGGCCCTAACACTTTAATCCAAACAAAACTTACTAATGTATATCAATTAAAAGTAAATAGTATTCTACTTTTATTTTACACATTTTATTTTTAAAATTGAAAGGGAGATTTAAAAGAAAAACCTTAAAGAGTCTTAATAGAGTAGTCTAATATTTTAAAATTTTGATATTTTCTCCTAATTCTAGTTATTTCGGCTTTTTACTCACAGCTTTAACTATAATATTGGTTATATTTATTGGTTTTAATAAGATAGGACTTGTTTAAAATTGTATTTAACTCATCAAAATATCATGATAGAGAATATAAGGGGAGAACCACATTTTCCCACCCAAGGTTTGGCGAAACGACACTTTCCCACCTATTAAGTTTCAAAATGACACTTTCCCACCTTGTAGGTTTTGTTAGTGTTTTCTGTTAATATTTGACTGAAAAGACGAAAATACCCTTAAATAGTTTATTATAAATTAAAATTTAGTTAAGTTAAAGTCTTTACTCAATTATTTATTAGTTCAAGTGTAAAGATATCTTTTTTTTCTTTGTTTATTTAATTAATTAGGAATATTGATTTTCTATGCATATGAGTAAAAATGAAAAACATTATATTATGAAAAACATTATAAATTTAGTAGATTATTGTATAATAGTGATGAGATATTGATGACATTATAAATAACTAAATAAATATTAAGGTCATTTAACTTTAAACAATTCCATAGCATTACTCCTAACTTTTTAGATGGGATTAACAATTTTTTTTTTGACTTTTTAATATTTGACATTTTGGCTAATTAAAAAATAATAAAAAATTTATAAAGTCAAAATTTTAAGAGTATTTTCATATTTTCAGTAAAATATTAACGGGAAACATAACAGAACCTAACGAAGGATGGGAAAATGTTGTTTTGCTAAACTTTGGGTGAAACAATGTCGTTCTCCCGAGAATATAAATACCCTAAGAGCATGTTTGGCAATGGCACAAGACATTGTGCATACTATTTACATTGTATTGCATACAATATTGTATTACGGTGTATAATACAATACGAAATATTATATGATGTAGAATAATATTGTATTGTATTATTTTTATATTATATTTTGTTTTGTATAGGGATTGTATTGGATAATATATATATATTTTTTTTGAACAAAAAATAGTATAATCATTAATCAGCACATTCTTTTTTTCTTTTATTGAATTGAATTCATCCTAGGTGATGATAGGAGTAGTAACAACCTTGGGAGTAAAGAGGAAAACAAACTTAAGAGAATTCTGGAATGAAAATCATTTCTCAAAAACTAATTCTGTATGTTACAACATTTATATATATACACCGCAGAGTTAACAGACAATTTAGTGCTTTTTTACGCTACAGGATCTGCTTAAGATTAAAAATAGACTTTAGAGAAGTAAAGCCTCAGTAGTGCACCACTAATTTGACCTATATATGAAATTGATTTTAAATATTTTTAAGCTAAAACTACAGTTTGGACTTAAGTTCTAGCATAAATCTATCAATGGACTTACAACCACATGTTACTCATATATTATATATGGACTGATATTGAGATTAAAAAAACACACGTCCTATTGAAATATTGACCATCCTCTAAACAGTTTAATAGTTTGAACACTATCATCTTCTTCTGAAGATGATTATCATTCATGAATCAAGAGAAAATCTTAAGATTAGAAAATGAGTAGAAACTTCATGAATTTCCTTCAATAATCCCAATTAATAAAGGTATTAACTTAACAATGACACTATCTTTTCTCTTAAAACGGCAACATAGTCATCTGCAAGTGAACTTCCATTCATCTGTCCAAAGTAGATATATTAGTCAGCATCGAAAATTAACATTACAGATAGAAAAAGCTATCTTAGGGAGCTAGAGAAGTTAGTATATATCTTTTTAAAAAAATTGAATATCGTGCAGAATTAAAATTTGAAGGGGGAACCGTGATCAAGTTTTGAAAATTTTAATTCTGATATCATGGAAACTTAACATGGTATTAGAGCTGAAAGTCTCAAATTCGAATGCTCATATACAAAATGAAAAAAAAAAAAATCTAAGTTTGATGTAAGGGACCTTATTGGTCTAATATATGTTGAGCCAAACAACTTAATATAAAGAGACTATTAAATTACTATTAATTTCACCTTAAATTTTAAGTTATTAGATGAACATCAACAATGATATTTAAGTGGGAGTTTGAAGTTGTGAAACTTGGCTTTGATACCATGCTATATTATTACTTAACCTAAATATTTATGAAGAATATAGTATTTGTAAAAGAAAACCAACACAGAAACGGAAAGGAGTGGGGATCTTTGTAAGTATAGATAAAATTAGATGAGAAGATGATATCTCTTGATCTTAAATTGATTCTATCATCCCTTTGATCCCTTTGCTTGAGTTATTCTATTATTTAGCTATATAATAATCCTTGTTTTTTATCAGGTGATTTAACAGACAGAAAACTTACCTGTATATGCATATTGTAGCAGACTCTTTCCTTACAAACTTGAAGAGTTGAGGCACTCATAATGCTCCTACCTTCTTCTTCTAGATTCTCCAATAGTTTTGAGAAATTGGTATCATGATCCTTAAGAATCAATGTAATCTGTACAATCACTTCACCTTTTACAACCTCGTGTACTGAAACCGTTGGAGCTTCAAGTTCTAATTGTGGAGTTTGACAAGGATTTTGCTCGTTTTCAGTTTTTGAGTGCAATTTTTTCTTCCTAAGAGTTAGCTTCTCTATTTCAATTTCTAGCTCCGGAATGTATTGAAGAACTCTATCCATTATTACTGGTGCACTTCTTCTCTTCTGTAAAGAGATCAAAATCACTACGAATTAAACTTAGTTTGATGAAATCTTATGTAACAAAAGTTGAAGGGCTCATTTTTAAAATTTCTGAATAATTTGTGGTACAAAAACATTAATATATCTTTAGAATTTTGATTTATACATAGTAAATTTAGTGTTTATCAGTTTATGATTCCTATACAATAGACTCTATGATTGTATCTTGAAAAGTCTTTCTCAACTGAATAGAATATATCTTCTCAGGCTTATCTTAACCCTAAATAGTCTTTCAATTAATTGTATAGACTTGGAACAGCTAACCAAACACACCCCCCCCCCACCAAAAAAAAAAAAAAAGAATTCACAACATGCATGAGAAAGATATTTAAGAAAAATTAGATAAACACTACGTTTAATTTACTGCTTAAGTTTCTGTTCTGTTCTTAAATCCTCACCCTGGGTAAAAGGTAATATACAAATCCTTACCTTATTAAAACACCGTGCATAATACTCACAAAACCAGGCATATTTTAATATTACTAAAGGCCATAAGTAGCAGCAATCTGATGCTCGAGTATTTCAAAAAATCCAATTTCTATAATTAATGGAGAGCAATTCAAATATGGTAGTATAAAAAAGTACTAGCAAAAGTTTAAGTTTTTAGGTGGAACGAAAATTTAAATATTGTATCAGATTCAAAGGTTACGAATTCGGATCTTATAAGAAAGATAAATAAAATTCAAGTTTCATGTAAAGGAGCTTATTAGACTAATATAATATGATGAGCCCTAACCTACTTGTTTAAGCTTTTAAGTGGGATGTCAACTTAATAGTCAATAAGACCAAAGCTGCAAATATATTAAACCCTCACCTACTCACTTAAGCTTTTAAGTGTAATGGCAACTAAACAGTCAACAAGTACAAAGCTTCAATATTGCAGCTTATATTTAAGGTATTAGTAACTAAAACAATATTTTTTACAAGTTATATCACTTATTACATCATCTTATGATTGATGTATCATCTAACCAACTGTAATAGTACTTGAGTTACTATGTGTTAAAGATCGGAGCTAAAATGCAGAAGAAGTGTATCAGAATGCTTTAGTTGTTTTAGCACAAGTCAACAGATGTTAGTTTTGTAAACTAAACTCAAAGAGTTAAATATATTCAAGATGAGACTATTCAAAGGTTTTTAGGCAAGGTTAGTGGCCAAAGAATTCCAGCAAACTCGAAGGGGTGGATTATTTTGAGACATTTAGACCTTTAGTGAAACCAGCTACTTTAATAGCAATTATGAGTTTAGATGTTACGTATCGTTGAGAAGTTAACAATGCCTTCCGATCCCTAATGGTGATTTGGATGAGCAAGTGTATATGGTACAACCTAAGGGTTATCCAAGTCTTACCTAATCTCAACATGTGTGTAGGTCGAATAAGGCTTTATATGGCTTTAAACAAGTTCCAAGTGCCTGGTTTGAGAAACTGAAATCTGCTTTGATTGCTTAGTTCAATTGCTGATACAAGTTTGTTTGTCTACGAAACTGAATAGAAGGTAGTCCGTATTTTTTGTGTATGTTGATGGCTTTTTATTGACAGGGAATGATGTTGAGTTGATAGATGAACTAGTGCAACATTTGAATGCTCAGTTTATCTTGAAGATACTAGGCTTTGGTAGCAGCTAGATTTGAGTCTTTAAGAGACAAGCTAACAGTTGTTTCACTAGACTTTTGCTAGCTTGAGAGGAGCTGTTAAAGATCAGAGCTAAAATGTAGAAGTGTATTAGATTGCTTCAGTAGTTTCAGCACAAGTTCTTAAGTTGTATGTTTCTTAATCTGCAGCATAGATTAAGGAATTCTAAGTATAAATAGCTGTAACCACTAATAAAGATCAGGGAGATTTCCCCATCATTCTTCTATTTTCTGTTATTTGACTCTATGAGATCCAACTTCTTAGTATTATTTCTAATATTACTAGGGTTCTTTATGGTACTTTATGATCCTAAAATGTCTCTTCAATTGTGTGCTATTAGGCCTACAACAAGTGCAAATTAATCTTCTTCTAAATAATGTGAAAGATATTCAAGTACTAACACAACTTGGTAACAATTCTTCCAGCATTCTTCCTATTAATAACCTTAATAACTTATATTGGAAAGCTAGAATACAAAGTAGTAAGGTCTTTCCAACGAAATGTTTATATCTAGAAAGCCCCATGGCAGCTAAAACCTTCACTAGAAAGAAGTAAAGGAAATTAATTTAGTTGTGATTGCAATTTCATATCCCAAATAAATTAATTTCATAAGTTATACCAATACTTATTATACGGATCATCTTATATTTAATGTAGTATTGCCTAAGTAGCAGTCATATATCACTTGAGCGACAATGCAGTGTTATCATTTATATTATTACCTAGGAGTTGCAGTACTTCATGAACACAAAACTTCTCTCCAATGTATCAATTAGGCTGTACAAATCAATCCCGGTTATTAAAGTACTAATTAAAATTGATCATTATTGTTCAGGCACTCAATTTTTGTTCGAAAGCTATGATATTATTGAGGCTACGCTTTTCCAATGAAATGTTTATTTCTAGTGTAACCCCAATGGCTGCTAAGACCTTCAGCATAAAGGATTGAAAGAAACTCTTTTAGTGTATGTAAATCATAGTTCCTCTATAATTGTTGTAGTTCTCTAAAGTAATATTAACTTCTTAAGTTGATCCTAAATGCAATAGCTCATAGAAACAAAAACTAATGAAATGATGAAGGGTGGTCGATGATTGAACCTTTTTTCTTCGAGAATCAGCTGGTAGCAATGCTCCAAGGGCTAAGTAAGAAGTATTGAGCATCATCCTTCGCGCTTTCTCCTTTTCATTATGCTCTTGCCTCTTTGAAATTGGCCCATCTTCTTCATTGAGTTGCACAACCTTTTCTTGATTAATTTGCCCATCTTCTTCATTGAGTTGCATAACCTTTACTTGATCAATTTGTACGCGTTTCAACTTATGCTTCCTCTCCTTTCTCTTACCGATGACTTGTTGATCTTCGAGTAATCTTTTATCAATGTTGGGGGAGGCCACTGCTGAAGTTTCTTGTTGATCAAGAAGTTGCAAGGAATTATCAGAAGCTTCAAAACAGTTGGACAAATTGCCCTCATTGCAATTGTTGAGACTTTGCCCTTGTAGTTCTCCATAATTGCATGGCTCAAAAGGTAAACTTTCTTGCTCAAGAAATATGTTCGGATCCAAATCCTCAAAATTAGATGACAAAAGACGTCCTTCTTCTAAAATTGGGCATAAACTTTCAAGAGCCTCGAGAATTAGTGAAGAATTTTCCTTCTCAAGAAATGAATTAAACTCAAAATTACTTGTGTTTTCTTTAGTAAGTAGTATACTCTCTTCTTGGACTGAACATGGATTAGCTGAAGCTCCATGCGAGACTGACGAAACGTTATTTTTTGGCAGCATTTCATCAAATCCACTTTTAGACACTGAAGAATTTTCTTGCTGAAATATATCGGCATCAAAATCACTCAATATTTGATCCATAGCTAGAAAGATGCTGTTATCTTCCAGAATTGGCCATGAATCATCTGACACGTAGAAAGGCGATGAGACCGAAATTTTATGAACATGACTGTAGTTGTTAAGAGATACTGGAGGAGACATTGTAATCAATGGTTGCAATGGTGGACATTCAAACCAGGCCTGCTAAATACCTATATCAATCATGAACGATAATTAAAATAAAGTTCAGTCTGATAATTAGATTCAGAAAGATTCAAAAACGTTAAGAAGATTATGAACAATTATAAATGTAGTAAGTAAAGGGAGGAAGATGTATCTTTCAAATATCCATTGCTATGTAGAAATCCATATATTGATATTACCAGATTAAGCTCAAACCCTAGAAATCTATTGCTAGATACAAATAAAGTAACTAAATCAATTGAATTATGGAGTGATATATTTTGCTTAGTTTTAAAATACAATAAATTCATCTTGGTAAAGCCATAAAACCCTAGATATTTCTGATTTTATTGATCTTCACCTCACATAAACTAATGTGAACATAGTTTAGGTCAAAAACCATCCAAAGAAATAACAAAAATAGCTATTGATTTTCTGGGAAAGTGGAAGTAAATTAATTAACATGCTTCATTAGTTAATTTAACAATATCCAACTATATATCTACACAGAAAAAAAAAAAAAAAAAAAGTATTCTAAAGAAAGGATTACGATGAAATTAAGCATGATGATTAACAAAGAATATGAATTGAAAGTTGAAATACCTTTTGCAGTGAGGTCTGACCTACAGATTTGAAATAGATTTGTGAGAGGGTGCAAGGCATAGAAGTTAATTACCTAATAATGACGGTCTTCATTTTAACATGATGATGCTTGAAGTGTATATAAAACTGCACACAAAAGTCAATCAAATAAGAGAAAAATAGATAAGATGACATAAAAATGAGCGCATCTTGAAAACAAATATATAAATAAATAAATAAAAATGAAAGTCAATGTGTTAAAATATCAACTAAAGAATTTTTAATTGAAAGGAGGGTAGTCGGAGAGAAATGAGTAAATGGATTTTCTCATTAAGATTAAAATCAAGCAGTTTCTTTAAGCTCCCCACCTATATTAACCATATTACAATACAAGATGCCATAAGTATCTTGCTACACAAGAAGCAGTACAAATTACTAATTAATTAAATGTCCCTAACTCTATCTACTGCTGCATCTCTCTCACATGCAATTTAACTGTACTTTTTATAATTTCCACATACATATGATAACAATTATTTTAATTTGCATGGTTTTTTCATAGTAAACCCCCATAGGTTTCACGATTCTATAGGCACCCAATAGTTTCATTACCACAACCTAACTCCCATTTAGATTATTCGCTTAAAAAAGTGTGTCAGAGTGGCCAAATGTCCCATTTTGCCCGTAAAAGGTTAATCGTTAAATTAAATTGGTGTTTATACTCCTTTTGTAAAGTTAATTTTAACGTATATTAAAAAAACAACAACTGTATAACCAAAATTTCATTACATAAAATATTAAACCAACTCAATTCTTTAATTTTTTTACTCAAAAATAACATTTCCCGGAACCCTTTTTTTTTTTTTTCATTCATTTCTTATTACCAATCAAAACTTCATATAATTACTTTTACATCTAACAAACTTTATTCACTTTCATCAAATTTCTCCCCAAAAAAAATTCTCACCATGTTTTTCTATCAAAACATATACTTTTATCTCTCTCTCCCAAAAAAAAATCAGCAATTTAAGTTCACCATATTTTTAAACAATTTAATTCAAACAAATCAATACAACAAAAAAGATAGATAAATTGATCTTGAGGTGGGAGGCTTCAAAGTCCGGCCCATTGTAGAGGGTCGGGGATTGACTAGATGGTCGTAGTAAGACCCTCAGGCGGCTGGCCATTCGTTATCACATAAGGGCCTTGCGACGGCCAAATCAAACCGCCGAAACACCCTTACGGCCTTACTAATGAGGGCCAAATGAAAAAAAAAAAAAAAAAAAAATAGACGGAAGAAGAAAGAGAAGAAGAAGGAGAAGAAGAAGAAAGAGAGGAGGGAGTGAAGAAGAAACAGAAGAGGATGGAGAGAAGAAGGAAAAAGTGATAAACAAAGAGAAGAGGATAGAAGTAAAAAAAAAAAAGGGTTAAAGAATGTGGAAATATTAAAGAAAAGAAAAAAACTTTTGTTTTCATTTAAAAGTGTAAAAAGTTCAAACCTTTAAAACAAAATAAAATATCAATATCAGTTAACTTCAATAAAAAAAAAAAAAAAAATTGTACGGAATAGGAGTAGGGTTGTATAAATTCCAAAAAACTAGGAGGGTTTTAGGAAAAAAAAAAAAAAAAACCTAATTTGTATGTTGTTACTAATATATATAAACTACCTATTGAGGAAGTGAAAATTTAACAAAATTTGTAAAAGATTTAACCCCAGAAGATTTGGCAACTTCATCCAGTCTAAAGTAAGGGCTTGAGAACAACCAAACGAGTTTAAGAAGTTTGAACTTCAATAAATTATCAGACATGCTTCAATTATCAGAGACATTGCTTTCATCATCTTCCCACAAGTTTATCTCTTCTAGAGATGATCATTGTCGATGAATATACCTTGCTTTCAAGCAGAAACAACTGTCATAAATTATCGAGACGTTCACCGTAAGAAGTTTTCATACCAAACACATTCGTTAATTTCAAAGTGATCTATTAAATCATGAAGTACAATAAAGATAAGTAGTTGAAGAACGAGGAGAAAGAAAAAATGGAAGCACATTTAGAAAATTTCTTAAAAAAAAATCAGCTCTTTAGATAAGTTAGAAGAGTAAATCCATGAAAATTGGTACCTCGTAAATATGATCTCCCAATTGAAGCTGCACAACTGAAGTATAAAGTGTTTGATAATGAAGAAATTTTGGTGAATGCATGAACAGAGAGAATCGGCTTTCCGCAAAACACTCTCCTGATAATATAAAGTATGCATAAATTATCTGAATATGCAGATGCGGTTGTATAAAACTAAACTATTATTCTAGTGTAGTAAAACATACAAATTGAAGTACATTAGTACAAACTAGCTCCTTCTTACAAAAAATTACATACACCAAAAAAAAAAAAAAAAAATTACTCTTTGGAACAATGGAATTGTTGTAAATTAAATAAGTGCCTCTGTGCTGCAACATCAAGGCAAAATTTCCAGATTTTATGAGGTACAAAATTTGAATTATTGAGCACCAGGTTAATTTTTTTAGATATGCCTTATAATTAGTTGTTTAATTATCAGCTTGAGAGAGAAGTGGAACAGATTTTGTTTACTACAAAGCTATTGTTTCTGCATAAGTATTACAAGTTTTCTGATTTTTTAATCTAAACAGCCATGAGACACAAATATCTAGTTAATTTTACATATTGAAACATAATTTTTAGAGAATTTTTCCAGATTAAAAAATTTTCTGATTGAAGGAGTATTTGCTAGAATTCTCCTTAAAGAGATTTCATTCCAGATGCAATATTAACTAACCTCTCAATTCTCAAACCTCCTTTCTCTTAAATTTGTGATTTGTGATATCAATTGAAAATATAATTTAGTTTGATTCCTCTTTATTGAACTTCAAATATTCCTTGAGAATCGTTCTAAAGCCAAAAGATTCATATGCAAAATCAGTAGCTTCATAGGTTCAACCGAAGGTATACTTCTTTGCACTTGATCCTGTACTTCTTTGGACTTTGGCATAAACTTTTATTATATTTTTTTAATCCAATTTTTCATTCAAATAAAAAGGAGTAGAAGATGGTTAATCTGCATTTATCGATTTGACCCTTCTTCAACAAATATATATATATATATATATATATACACTAGCTCTCGAAGGTCGAACCCGGGACCGAGCAAATTGAGCTAAAAGCATTCACACAACTGAGTCCACAGAAGGCTAGTCCTTTATCATGTTAATTAGAGCTTCCTAATAAACTTAACCAAAAATATTATTTAAAATCTTGCACAGGTTAGTACATTCCTTGTTTTACATTAAATGAAGGTTTATTATGCTTTTTATGAACCCGTTTTGGATGAAATATCTATCACCTTTTAATATTTGTTTTTCAAGCTTGTGAAGTTGATAAATTCGGGCTGTTACATATATTTCTGTTTCAGTTTATCCACTTAAAGATACTGATTTTACATCAAGTATCTATACAAAAACTAGCGAATCTTATAGTTCCCACATAACTGCTGGAGCAAATGTTTCTACAAAATCTAGACTAGGCTTTTGGGAATAATCTTTTGCCATTTCCCATATACTTGAGTGTTAATATTTGATTTTGATACCAACGACTTTACATGTGTAAAATGCTAAGAAATCACATGTGAGCAAATTAAATTAAGTAGGGGTGAGGTACTATAAGCACAATGACATGCAAAGACTTAAATGTAAAGTTTGACAAGATAATTTTTATAGTGGTTCAGATGCTTAGAGCGAATCTGATATCCACTGTGTTTGCTTATATAAATCTGTTTCTGGTCGTTAGAAAAGCTTACAAGAGGTCGGTAATTGAGATATGATATGACAAGTGTTTGGTGTTCTAAGTGTTCTTAGAGAATGTTAAGCCAATCTCTTTCTAGTAGTGTGTCTTTGCTATTTTTTTTGTTGAATTCATGAGTGTCTGATCCCGATTTTGTGAGGGGAAGCTGCCTATTTATACCCGTTTTGCTCAAGGTAATGATGATAATTTTGCAAGTGGCTTGATGTCGTGAAAATCCCTCCTGTCCTCCCATTCGTTGAGAACTCAAAGAATATCCTTAAATTTAATGGGGTTTAAACATGTGTGCGAACCAAATTCATTCATGCACAAATTCTTGAGTCGGCTGGGTTGTTGACAACTATATTCTTTTTGTTTTTGGAGACATGACATGTTCTGAATGGTGGAATACTTTCTTGAATTCTGATTGGTGTTTCATGATGTCAACATAAGTTCGCCCTTATTTTTAGGCATAACATTGAGCTTATTGATCTAATTCAATCCAATAATTTTTTCTTACTTGTCCCATTCTGAATAATATATGTTATCTTCCCTCAAATAGAAAATCTAATCTTCATCTTTGATGCTACGAACTATTAGGT